AAACCACATGTCAATATCTTGATTCGTTTAAAAGTTAGGGGGCGTTTTTTATTTTTATTAATTATTGTTTAATTGTAATTCAGACAGGAAAAGTGGCATTGATTTTAGTTGAATAACATTCTAATTCGGAAGTATAAGTTGGGCTAATTGTGAAATTTTTTATCGGAAGTAATTATCACAGATTAGTATTTATCTATTTACATTTAAATTCTGCTTATTGTAAGGTTATCTCATTTTAAAAATCGTAATCGAAAATAAAACTGTAATTTTGAAACTTTTGAGGGTATTCTCATACTTCCAAGGAGATATACGAAAAGTAGTTCAAATGTCTCGGGCTTGATTTTCGAGAAATATTGAAATAAATCAAAATGTTAAGATGCGGTTTTCAGCAATCAATTTTTGAAGAAAATTTAACACCAGAGTAAGTGAACTTTTATCACAAAATTCTGCTTATACGGAGATTATGTAATTTAGAAAATCGTTACTTAAAATTTTAGTACTAATGGGAAGTAACGTTGGTTTTAGTTAAATAAAATTCTAATTTTTAAGTATATTTGGACCAATTTGAACACTATTAGGGTTTTCTTATATTTCGGAACAAAAAGTAGTTCAAATGTCTTGGACGTGATTTTGGAGAACAATAGAATTTGTAAAACCTTCTTGACATTTTGATTCGTTTAAGAGATATGAAGTGTTTTTCAATTTTCATCATACAGGGTGATTCACAAACGGTGACTAAAAATTAAACCTCGTATTTTTTTGTGAATTTAAAGGGGAGTCTATCATATAAAGTTTTTATCTAGGACGTTTCGTTAAAAAGATACAGGGGTGTTAAACTTAAAAAAATATTTTAAATTATTTTTAAATTTATAAACTAGTAAGTGAAATAATTTGAAATTGGACTTGGACACATTATGTATACATTGTCCAAAATCAAAATACAGTGAAAATTGGTTATAATGACATTGCTTTATACGACATATTGGATATAACGACGGAATTTGGAATTCCCGATTAAATCCTATAGAAATACCATATTAAAACATAGTTTACTACAACACCGTTTACAAGGACATTTCGGATTAAGCGATGCATTTTTATATACATTTACCAGAGTTTGTTGGTTATAACGACCAATAGTTATAAGGCGTTTTCACATATACCAACACCAACAGCTACACGACATCAGCACAGCACCAATACCGACGACGCCAGTGGAGCAGCCTGTCATGACACGATACCGATATATCGGCGAGTGTGAAAACATGACTATTTATTTATATGAGATTACATATCCACTGTTATCGTTGTCGTTGTTGTGCTGATGTCGTCTCGGCCAGTGTGAAAACGGCCATATAAATATTTTTTGAAGTATGACACACTATCTTTTTAAAGTAATGTCCTAGACGAAGAAAACTTTATCTGAAAGACTACCAGGAATAGGAGGTTTCATTTTTGCTCACCATTTGTGAATCACCCTGTATATGAAAAAACCTCAAATCTTGAAATTGGCACGCCCCTTACAAGACCACAAATTACTTTTTTGATCTAAAGTTCATGTCACATTATGCCATGCCTTTTATTGACCCGTTAACAAATGAACAGGGGCGAGGTGAAACTGGCCGATTTCGGTCTAGCCCGACTCTACAATGCCGAAGACAGACAGCGGCCGTACACGAACAAAGTGATCACGCTGTGGTACAGACCCCCGGAGCTACTCCTCGGCGAGGAGAGGTACGGTCCCGCAATCGACATTTGGAGTTGCGGCTGTATACTCGGGGAACTGTTCTTAAAGAAGCCCCTTTTCCAAGTAAGTGTTTGACCGATAATGTTTGTCGAACATAGCAGATTGTGTTATTTTTGAGTTTTTAATATAATGAACCCTTTCGCTGCGCAACACGTCTGAACGTAGCTACCGCGTCGTGCGCGAAAGTTTATCACGTGCGAATATATACGTCTGGAGCAGTTAGACCATTTATAGTTTTACATTATGTTGTGTTAAATTACGATTTACGATAAATTTTACGATTTTATTTTGAATAAAATACAGTATATTAGTGATGTAAAATAGCATGCTATTTATTTTTGGGTGATATATATCAAAGTATATATCAATATATATATCAGATGAATTTTGTTAAAAAAAAACTATACTCAAATTAGTTTTTTTATATTGCTAATGCCTTGCTGATTAATTTGACACCAAATACATGTCATATATATGAACTTTTAGAAAAGTTATCAAGTGATCTTTATTTTTTTTCATATTTAGATTGGAATTTTTTATTTTTTTT